TTGGCTAGTAAGTAACTGTGCCAGATGCCCCACAGGAATTGCCCATGTGCATGGTTTTGTTTGTATCATCTGTGTAAAGTATTCTATTTCTGAAAGAAAGAAAAGAAGGTGATCCAGCAAACACAGCAGCTAAACCGGGATTTGTCTGGGTATCCATGACCCACCTGCACCTAAGAGTGAGGGTCAGCAAGATGGTGCATCTCCCTTCAGCCTGAAACACTGGAAGTTTCAGTGTCATCTCACCTGGGCTGGAATGGTCCATCAAAGTTGGATTTAAAGCAGGAGAGATGAAGAGCATGACCTGCCAGTGTCTACACCTGGGTCCCTCTCAGAAAGTATCTATGAGCCTGAAACATTTTAGTATAGATCCTGTTTATATTCCATTATAATTACATAGTTTTCAATATATTGAAGACTGTCAAGTTTCTTGATTTTTTTTTTTGCTTGCATCAAGTCTGAATGACAGTTTATGCTGATTTTTGAAAAACAAGGGGTTCTAATTTGAGAATAATGTCTTTCCACCTGGGATACGTTAAAAATGCAACATTTTTGCTACATCTACCATAAAAGGAATTTATTTTTCTTCAAAAATACTTCTAAAGATATATGGCCTCATCTAAAATTCAGGGTCCTCAGATAGAGTGTGGACATGTACTAAGGCAGCACTTTCTCTGCATACTCCGACGTGTGCAATTAGCATGAGGACAGCCATTAGCACATCCCATGCACTGTGTAACCAAGTCATGCCTGATTATGTTGCAAAGTGAGATTAGCAAAATGAGTTTAAAGTTGTCGTCTCTCTGCCACGTGATAGTAGGGAAAACAAATCCTTCCACTGCCAAAGCAGCAACTAATATTCAGTGCTTAAGAAATTCAACTGATGCATTCATAATGAACAGGATTTTGTGTAATTAAAATTTTAAATAAATCCCCAACATGAGCCCTGGCTTGGATTTGTTAATTTCAGATGTGGAAGTACAGCTTTTGACAAAATACTTTGAGGGTTTGGGGGTTTTATCCTTCTCTTTTCTTTCATCTGAGAGATTTACAAAATCTTATTAGCATACTAAAAAATAGCAGGAGAGAAATTAAATGAAGACCAGGATTAAAAGACTCGCTACTTTCTTCCTGTCACCTTTATAGTTCTTTTGAGCATCTGTCCCTGTGGTGGGTGTAAGTAACATGGAGGTGGATGTTAGTGGGTGGCAAAGCTTTTATGAGACAGAAAGAAGCTGAGAATTAGAAAATTATTGGAAGCAGTTTCCATACAGATGAGGAGAAGTAATCAGACCTGAGAAGCCAAGGAAGAGAGGAAGGCAGTAAAAAACCTGAACAAATGGCACATTTCACTGGCAAAGAAAATGCCAGTTTCAACAGAAACCGTGAAAGTTGCCATGGAGCTCTCACTCAAAGCATCCCGCAGCTGCAGGCCTGGTCCCTCCTTGCCTGCAGAAATCTTTCTGTCCAGTCAAAAATCCATCAAGTTCTCAGGGCACATTTCCAGGTTGTTCACCTACCTACAGGGTGACTGCATCCCTCTTTGTCCCTTGTCACCCTTGTCCATAGGTGGTGGAGATGAGATGAATGATGGCATGTTAGCAAGAAGGTCCTATAGCTGGGAGGAAGACCATGCTGCCCTGGAGTGCTGGACTCCGCTCATGCCTCTGCCTGGAAAGCCCTGTATGACAGTGGAGAGTCACTTACAGCAAGCTGTTCATGGATGGCTTCAGTCGGTCGATCTCCGCTCCTGAGTTGCTCAACCTGAAGTCTTAGAAGTGATTTGTGGATAGTTTAATCACTTGTAGCTGCAACTGAGGTTAATGGAGGTTGTGTTTTGAAAATATCAAGTGCTGTAGGAGGCAATTCTACCATGAAAAACCAGGCACTGTGTGATATAAGATGGACAACAAAATATGGTCAATACACTTAGATATTTAATCTCTTTGTGTCTAGATTCCTTGACCCTAAACAGAGAAATAATACTGCCACTGTACTTTAGCTCAACATCGGATGTATTAGCTGACAGATGCCTGTGATGCACAGACAGCCACAGCAATGAGACTCATAAAAGGGAAAATACCTAAATGAACCCAGAGGCAGTTTGTTAAAAAATACACAGTCTTAACTTTGGGACTGTTTTTCCAAGGACAGCTAAAATAAGCTCATCATCAGAATGCATGCGCCTCCATCCCCAAAGGTCCCACTATTTTTTAAATACAAAAGGTGCCAGAATGATTTAACCTGGAAAAAACAGTGAGTTTCCCATCCTCGTTATTCTCAGAAACATTTGAAGCAGACCTGTAAATGCTACAAGTCTGTACATAAACAGATGTATGTGTGCTTACATAGGTGTATGTATAGTTTAATATGTACTTTAAATTTAGTCAGGTATTATCACAAACAATGTAAGCTTTACAAAGTTGTGCACAATAGGAAACTGGATCTCAGAGTGGGGTCAGCTGCAGCAGGAGTTAGCACAGGGCACTGTTAGCACGGGTGGTGAGTTGGTACCAGGGGAATGAGCACAGCCCTTCTCAACCCCTAGCTCCCACCAAAGGTCACAGCTGCCATGAACATAAACGGCTCCCACCAACTCCCCTGTAATCCAGCCAAGAAAGCTGTGGCTGAGGATAAGACAAGTTTGGATCCACAGAGGGAGAAGATGTGGGTTCCCTCTCCAGAAGAGGATAAAGTTGCAATGTCTCACAGTGTGCTAAATCTGGACCTAGGTGGAGGGGAAACACTGTCTGCTGGTTTGGGTTGTCTGGCATGCCCGATGGCTTTATTTTCATCTCTGCTATTTTTTGCATGACCCTGCTCAGAAGCCCCATCATAGAATCATAAAATGGTTAGGATTAGATAGGACCTTAATATCATCCAGTTCCAATCCCCCTGCCATGGGCAGGGACACTTTCCACTAGACCCGGTTGCTCAAAGCGCCGTCCAGCCTGGCCTTGGCCTTCAGACTACATTATTGACTTTCTCAAGCAAATAGCCTAGCCCATGGGTGAATTAATGAGTGTTTGCAAAGTTGTGCTTAATCACTGGATAAAACGCAATTGCATAGGTGTGAAGTGTTTGGAAAAGGGTGATTATTCCCAACACCTGCTTTGCTGTCAGAAACCCTCACTGACTGGGCAGTGAACCAGTCCTTGTCCTCACTCCTTGGGATGTTCTTGGCACACACTGGCACTGTTCACAGACATGTGAAAGACTGATTTTTTGCACATTATGTGCATTACTTTAAATAAAAGTATAAATGAGGTGTCCAGACTCCCAGTATAACACTGGGAAACACCGGAAAGTGCAGGAAGGTGACATTTAACCCTCATTCTGAAGACCTGTGCAGCATTTATTCTTCCACAACGCAGCAATGCTACTCTCCCTCCTTTTACTCCAGGTCATCAGGGTCTGAGTTGTCTCCCCTAGGATGGGAGAACTGGGTTCAACCCTCTCGTGCTCCGAGAGGTTTGCAATGAGCAAATTCCCATTTGCAGCAAGCAATTTCCTGACTTGCAAATGGAGAATATAAGCCAATGCGAGGCATTTGGCTGCTTGGTCAGCAGGCACCTTTGCTCTCCCATTTGAAGCTGTGCCAAGGTGCAGCAGAGAAACAGGGCTAGAGGGATTGTAGCGTAGCCAGTGCCTGCACTCCACAGGGCTGGGAGCTCAGCTAGCAAGGCTGCATTGTGGGTTGCTGCCTCTGTTTCCACTGGTTTTACCATAATTGACCTAAAGTTTGCTAGTTAAAATACAAAAGGTCCCTGTAAGCATGAGGAACAATACCAAATTCCTTTCTCCTGGCAGGGTGCCTCAGCTTTGCAGCTGCAGACTGAGAGAATCTTCTTGCATCTTCTCTACCTCTTGGATCTACTCTTCGACCTTCCCCTGGGTTTTCTATCAACTTACTGTGACCGGGAGTAAAGGGAGCCCCATATGAACAGGCATCCATTTCTTTCTCCATGGACTGTGTTGTATCCAGTGCAGAAGGAGAAGCCCATAGTCATACAACTGTCTTCGGACCAAAACAGGGGTGCCATTCTGCTCCTTGTCTAGAAACCAGTAAAACCTCTGTGGGTCTGCCCCAAGGATGGGTTTGGTCCTGGCTGCATGTAGGGAGCAGTGTTCAGGGGGATGTTCCTTTGGCATGTCTTAGGATGAAGTACACTCTGGTGCTCTGCATGGGCTGTAAAATGAACTGATGTACTTCAGAGTTAGCTACAGAGTTAGCCTCAGGCACCAGAGTTAGAACAGATGTGTCACACCTAGAGCAGTTTGCAGCATTTTTAGCAGAAAGTCTGTAGAAATGCTGGAGCAGGACCCAGAAGCCCTGTGTCCTCGTCCAAATATAACCTTTATTTTTTTAATAAGAAAAGCACTGTGTGTTTATAAATTGCTCTTTGCCAAGTGACTTGTTCTTAAAAAGAATTACACTGTAATAAGCTGCATCATTAAAAAGACATTTTTCTGTGAGTGGCAGAGCCTGATTTCCTGCTGTTTGGAGTCTTGTGGTGGGATTATCTTGTGCCTAATGAGGAGCACTGTGGCTGAAGCCTTTTCTCCTTTTCATAAAGACGCTGTCTCACGTAGGTTCTTGGGTGTCTATAATACTTTTGGTATAAAACTGCAGTTGTTTAGGTTCTCTCCTATCTGGAAATGCAATATTGCCCATGTGGCAAGCTCTTCCTTCCTGGAGACATAAAGGGGTCTTATTTCTCTACCCTGCTGCCTCTTCTCACGGAATTGGTTAAAAATTAAAACCTTTGAGACTTCTATCACACAGTTAAATTTGACTGAAATTGGCTAAAAGATAATTGAGTGTAATATGGACTGGCACAATATAATAAACTTAATTTTATTAGGTATTTTTGGGCAATAAATAATGGAAAGCAAATACTGGAGCAGATTAAACATGGAAAAAAATGTTCATAAATATTTATTCAAGTTTCTAAATGCACTCAAGGTGACCACTTTATGCCCCTTTTGCATTTAAATTTTAGAGGTTCAATTCACAGCCATATGAAACACCAACAAGGGCACAGGAACCCCAATAGTTACACATATACCTTAAAAGTAAAATAATATTTTTTTGTGAGACTTTTTTCACAGATATCAGTATTTTGTAAACTTCTTTTTAGGATATTAAAAAATCTGTATTTTAGAAATAGGAATGTTGAATAATTCAGAAAACAGATTTTGAAGATGATTCTTACCAAGCTAGAGAATAAAAACGAATCATGTAGTTTCTTCTGGATTTCCCAAATTTTCAATAAACCTGAACTGAACAAAGTCAGACCAAAAGTCCTTTGCTGAAGTGATTCATGGAGATTTTTCAAAAACGTGAGATGTGAAAGGGAATTCTCAATTATTTGCACACACACACATAAAAAAAGTAATCAAAAGTTAAGGAAAGAAGAAAGATACATTGGATAAATTGCTCATTGTAATTTATTTTCCTAGTTCCTAAGCCTTAGGAACATGCTTGTCAAAAAGAGTTTTTTGGAGATACTTGCGTTTTCTTACCTTGGATATAGTTTAGATGGATGAGCTACCATTGTTCTCCATGCTTATCAAATCAGGAGAATGCATTTTTAAATTCAATTACATCCTCAGTGGAAACGTTTTCTCTGACTCTGGTAATCTTTGGAGAAGAATTATACACAGTCTATAAAGCTTCACATTTCAAAAACCTAATTTTGAATGTTATGCAGGAGGTTAATTTAAGATTCATCTTCCTAAAGAGGAGTTAAATAAAACTGATAGAAGGCTGGAACTTGTCGAGTGGTTGAGAGGTTTATCAGTATGTGAGTATGAGTTCATTAGTTTTAATTAGTATAATCACTGATGTTGCATTAACAGTTTGGTGAGAGAAAGTAATTGCTCACACCCACTGTATTAGATGGGGAGATAAGTATTCACTTTATGAGGCAATTAGCATTCCAAGGATTTTTTTTAAAATGCTTTTACAATCATCTATTGCAGTCGCCTCCTTCACCAAAAAGAGTTTAAATTAGCCATAACTTTCATCCTAACAAGATGCAAAAATTAATGTAGAATTAAGTGTGAACCAGCAATCCCACCACGATAAGCAGGCAGCTAAAGCCACAAACCTCAATTAGTTTATAATGACCTGTTTTATTTCCCAGACAATGATAATAATTTATCTGTCCCAAATTCATTATCTTCTTGGAAAGTTTATATTTCTGAATTTATACAGCAAAACAAATAAAATATGAGAAAGGGAAAAGTAGAACATTACTATTGAAGTAATAATTCTCTAAAGAAAAAGCTGCAAGGTTCAATAACAGATCTTAAATAGTCAATTATTCTTTATATCAAATGTCAGAAGAAGAAGAAACAGCTCCCTTTGAAACTCAGTGCCTTGGGAAGAACCATGAATTTCACAGCAGCAGCAATCACAACCCTGCTCTGCCCATCACATCCTTTGGCAGCTAATGACAAAATGAAAATGAAGATCCAGGACTTTGTCATCCTGGTTGGCAAGGAAGCCCTGGTCATTTGAGAATTAGGACAGTTGACCCAAGAGGTTGCCTTCCAAAGCATCCTGGAAGGTGAAAGTGCAAATTCTGTTGGGAAAAACTGCTTACAGTAAAAGTGTTTATCCTCATGTCAAGGCTTAATGAAGGGCGTCACAGTATCCATAGAGATGAGACAATACACCATCTGCAATATATCTGGCACCTGTTATATGGGATTATGTTTGCTCTTGGTTAAAATAAGTCTCTTCTCAAAAAAAGCTGAAAAAAATCCCAAATCTGCTATGATGTGTATGTGGCATGGAGGAGAACAACTGTTAGATGTTAGAACCACACTGTTGTTTCTGTAATTTTGAGTATATATGTTAAAATGTGCAGATGTGGGGCAGCATTCAGGCAATTACATTAATATTCCTAAAACATACGCTAAAGCAAAATGTACTTACATATGTATGTACTCCTAATGCTTATATCCCTTATAAACATCTCCAAAGGAGTTCAGGAAGGGACAATGTCCTCCTATGTTTAATCATCTAAAATTGAAGTACAACTGGACAGATTGGATCTCAGTCATGCTGGTGGCAGCCGGTGCTTCCTTTAGGAGGTGGATTACTCCAGCTAAGATCTGAATCCACCACTAGGAAAGTCTGCATCCCTCTATTGACAGCAGTCCAAGGTAACCAGGTTTTTGTCTCTCGTGGCTGAAGTAAATGCTTAAAATTGGGTAGAATGAATCATGATGTGCATGCCTGTGCCTTAGGGTTTGTCTATGCACAGAGTTATTGTGGAGAGCCATTACTCTTCCTGAATAGCATTACATGTGGATACACTTTTGGTGGAGTAAGACTTACTCATTTCTCTTCAATAATATCCTCTTGACAGAAGCAGAGCAGTTTGCTTCCTAGTTCTCATGTGGAATCCTTCTGCAAGAGCTGCTGTCTTTTTAGCTAGCTGTCCTACCTTAATCCAAATTTACTTCAGTATAAGAATGCCCTAAATTTTCCATCTATACACCTTTGACACCCATGTAAGTTTTATGGAGGTAAGCACATCAATTAAGCCCAAATACATTGATAAAAAAAATAAATAAATGAAGGCATCTTATACAATAAAAACTGACTTTTATTTCCCAAATTATGGGTATTATAAAGCATTTTGTTTCAGGACAAATGCCTGTATTTGCCAGTGTGTTTCATTAAAGAATAATAAAGCCATACATATTTCATTTCCTTGTTCTGAGCTGCAAGAGCCTTAACTATATAAAATGCCCCATGCTGTCCTTGCTTTGTTGGGCTTTTTTTCCTTTTAATCAGATTTCCCCCCCAAACTAATGAAATCTCTCTTTAAATACATACATCACTTTCACATGAAGTGACCTATCATGGCTGAAATGGTTTCTCTCTTCTTCTGGAGAACAAGGCAACTGCCAACACATTTGCTGTGCAGATCTGTGTCTGGGTTGCCCCAGTCTCCAGAGAGCTGAGTTCCTGGCATTCCTACCAGTGCTGTTTTCTGAGGGCTATGAGGGGGCAGATGTCTGCAGGGTCTGCCCCTTGCATATCTGCACTGGTTCCTGGTCACCTTCTATCACATGTAATTTCTTTTCTCTTGTAGTATGCACCTACTCGCTGTGCAGCTGCACAGACGTCCACGGAGCAAGGCATCCTTCCTCCCTGCCATCACCACGAAGCAGTGCATGACCCCCAGTTGGTTCCCTGCACGTGCCCACTCTTCTCCTGTCCATGGGAAGGGCACCTGGAGGTGGTGGTGTCCCACCTGAGGCAGACCCATCGTATCAATATCCTTCAGGGGGCAGAGATTGTTTTCCTGGCCACGGACATGCACCTGCCTGCACCTACAGACTGGATCATCATGCACTCTTGCCTTGGCCACCAGTTTTTGCTGGTTCTCAGGAAGCAGGAGAAGTATGAAGGCCACCCCCAGTTCTTTGCCACGATGATGCTGATTGGCACGCCGACCCAAGCCGACAACTTCACCTACCGGCTTGAGCTCAACAGGAACCAGAGGCGCCTCAAGTGGGAGGCAACCCCCAGGTCGGTACTGGAGTGTGTTGACTCTGTCATTTCCGACGGGGATTGTCTTGTGCTGAACACTTCCCTGGCTCAACTCTTTTCTGACAACGGAAGCCTAGCGATAGGGATTGCAATAACCACCAGCAAAGTTCACAACGCCGAAGCTGAAATGTGAGAGGGAAGAGGAAGAAGAGGAGGAGTAACAATGGTGCTCTAGCTGCCTTGGAAGAGCCAGAACTTGTGGACTTTTCGGGGGGGTCTCAGGTCTTTTATGGTATTTAGTACTTGTCCACAGTGGGCATTATGTAAACATCCTGTGGTTAAGGTCTCTGTGTAATGTATTTACCGTTTTGTTAATACAATTTTATGAGAAATTTTAAAGAGGCTGATCAATTTATTGCTGCCCTCCAACAACACTGAAAACAACACTTTCTCCTGGAAAGTGCACCCAGGGTGACTCATAGAAAACTTTGGACTGAGCATTCTATGCAAATGTGTTTCCTTCATTGTCTTCCTAATTGCCTGGTATTAAAGAGGCCCCTGTGCTTGGCAAAAGATAAAGTATTTCACTAAGGAAATGAACTAAAGAATTCCACTAAGAGGACTCAGGTTTCCATACTAGCAATAGTGATTCGACTCTTACACTGTGGTCACTACCAAGTCCCAGGGAGCTTGCAGTTTCAGAGCTCCCTTCAGTGTCTGAGGAAACAACCTTCACCACACAAACAATGAAAGCTTTAAAAGAAAAAGCCACCACCTCCACTGAGCTGGGACCTGGGAAGCCTCATCTTGCATTAAGTCGGGGATGACAGTTAGTGGGTGGTCACTGTAAGCATGGTTAAATCTCACTTTTGTATCATAATGGGCAGTGAGAGGCTTATTACATGGTCTGGCTCCCGGACGCATATAGCCATAGCCAGCCATGGGGGCATTCACTTTTTTAGCTGCTGTTTCATAAAATACAGTATCAGGACAGTTCTAAGTTGTGTACTGGTCATGCTATCAAATGCTGTGCCCTTTAGACCCACAGTGTGTGCTGCTAGATATTGACTTAAAATAATGCAGCTGGAATATCTGTAAGTTGTCTATGAAATTTGAAATGTTCTCTTTTTTAAAAACAAAACGAAACAAAAAAAACTCCAAAAGACAACAATTACTTTTTTTTTTCTTTTCTCCCACACATTTAGGCCCTTTTCTTCTACTAAGGATGTTCCACAGATGGTGATGGTCACAAGAAGACATGTGTTTCTCTAAGAGCTTCTTCCTTGGCTGGTTCCCTGGAGGGGAGTCCAAGGCAGGTGTTGGCCGTCTCCTGACACTTGGTCTCATCTGCAGCCAAGCGTGTTTCCCCCATGGCCAACCACAGCAGTGAAATCCCACCACAGTGATGTGTTGAAGGATGGGGCTTTACAGGGACTGTGACACATGAGAAGCATGGGAAATTGTCTTTTCCTGTTTCCCCTTCTGCCTGTGTGTGGCTGTGGTCTGCCTGCTCCTGAAAGCTTTTTCAACAAACATCTGGTGGGTTGGGTCAGTTAGTAGCTAGAGAGACTGAGGGTCATCACTTAAGTCCCTTGGTGAACCAAGGAAGTGGGGGGAAGAGAGCTAAGAACAATCCTTCAGTGTTTCAAAAGGCATCTTGCTGTAACTAGCTTTGGGTAGGCAAAGCCACTGATACTAATCTCTCCCACCTGCTGCTCTCCTGGGAATTATGATAAATGATGCATGAAGTAAAACCAATTGTGATTTTCCTGAGATGAATGCTACGCAGGTAGTGCCTTCTGAGTTGCAGATGCACCTCGTCTCCTTACCTGGGCTTTCGTACTCACAGAAGAGCTAGGGTCTCTTGCTGATCATGATCACACAAGCTGAGGTCTGAAACAGAAGTTTCAGTCCCTGTAAGAGTATGCAGAGACGTACCTTCACAGCTCTCCCAGATCTGTATTTAGGGGGCCAGGAGGGCATGCTGGTTTGCAGTGCTTTACTGGAACATGCAGGCTTCAGAGTGGCTTGGCTTTTCCCTGCAATGTTAAATATTCAGAACCAGCAATTGCTGCCCTTTCCCTAAATGATGGCCATAAATAAATCTTTGACACTTTTGTGGACTGAAACTGGCTTCTTCAGCTCCTCCGGCAAATATTCTGCTGCTGAATTAAAACAAAGCAAAAGCAATAAAACCCCAATAAAAACTGTTCCTCCAGCTTAAACTTCCTGAGCTCTTTAAACACTGTGGTAGAGACCTAATGTAATGCTGCTTTCATTGCCTCATCACAAGCCTTTCTAGGGGGAAGGATATTCCTTGGGTTTTTCCAGACTATTTACTTCTTACTAGGTGGCACCTTTTGTTCTTGAAGTATCTACTGAAATGAAGAATGCGCTGATTGGTATATTGGGACATGCCCCTTGCCAAAGGACCAGTTTATTTCTGGCAGAATGTGACAGCAACATTTTTCTGGGATGGGCATCTCCATCCACTACTAGCATCCTGGTTTTCTGGTTTTGATGGTGGAGGAGGCACAGTGGAAAAGTGACCTCCCTAACACAGACCTCCTCAAATCCTCCATGTCCTTCTCCCAGAGCTTTCTCATGACTACACCAACGGTTTGGCCCTTCTATTTCCTCCCCAGCCCTCCCTGTCATCTGGTGGCCACACAGCCTCTTCTCAAGCTCTCAACCTAGGTTTCACCCTTTGGCTTGCACAGCCCATGGCGCTTCTTTCCTCCTCCTGCTTTTGCCTCTTGGGTGCCATCGTTTAAATTGTTCTTGCTGCTCTTTACAGCCAACTACTTGCTTTACTACAAGTAACCTTCTTTCTTGGCTTTCTCCACAGCTGCAAAGCCCCAGCTCTGGCAGGGATCTCAGAAATTCAGCTATGTTGGACTACTGATGAAAATCTGCTCAGTAAGACTCCCAGTACAGAAAACGAGGACACATTTTGGGGAGAAAGGAGATATGGGTGCCTAAATCCAGACTTCATAAGTATCTGAGCATAAAACTCAAATGTTTAAGGGTATATTTAAGGACTTAATACCATGGATGACATTCTAATTCTGTCATAATTTAAAGCCTATGAGCAACTCTTCACTGCCATAAAGCAAAGGTGAAGCAAATGTTCTACATGGTGGGACATAAATCCTAAAATGCTGACAGATAGGAGCAACAATGAAATCCAGTTTACGTGCAGTCTTTCCGTGCTCATAGTAGAGCACTTTTTACAGGTCTGTACTCATGGCTGAAAGGCAGTTGTAGCTTGGCTTCCAAAATTTGGGCTGAAATTGGGGCTTCTAGAATTCATTTTGTACTCTAATATTTTGCATCTTTAGAATGTATTATACTCCAAATTCCTTCCTTCCTGTGAATGCAGCCTTACATCTCTTTGAAGGAAACAAGTAGCCTTCATTTGGTGCAAAAGAAAATGTCTTGCAAAATTGCTCTGCAGCTGTTGTTGTAGAATTCTGTTTTCCTGCCTTCCTGAGAGCAGTGTTCCCTCTTTATTTTGCTCTATTTATTTATTTATTTTACATAGACAGAATCATAGGGGGCTTTTTGCTGTGGGGTAGTTTTGGTTTGGGGTTTTTTTTTTTAGAGTTTTCACATATCCATGTTCATGGATGGATTTTCTTGAGCCTAGATTAGCAAAGTGCAACACTATTGCCATCAGGCTGAGCCAGATGGATTGCTACCAGACCCACTAGAAAACCTACTTTGGTTCTTCTGCACTATCCATCAGACACAGTGTGAATGTTAATGTCAGATCTGCAGTAAAACAGCATTAGTGCTTTCAGCTCAATCCCATTATGAATTAAGATCACATCATATATCCATGACTTGTTATAAATCAGCTGTAGCATCCTGAGTCTCATCTTGAAGATGACAAAGGATCTTGCTGTGGCAGTGCCAGCTGAAGAGCTTGCTGAGAAGTAGGGCAGTAGTCCTCTTCCCACCGGACTCTGGTATCATATTCTTTTCATACTATCCTTTGTGAATACAACCCAGTAAGCTACTGAAGGAAGGAGGGATGGTAAATTCTGGACAATGAAATGGTTATAACAAAATGAATGTTTATAATAAATTGCTACATACTGCTGAATGGCTCTCTCTTTTGAGCATCAGAGGAATGAAACCCAATTGACAGCACTGTAGTACAAGTGGTTTATCTTGCTTTTCTAGATCATAACACACCTGAAAAACACTTCAGTCAGAGAAGAGTCTGTCAGAACAGACCCAGAGACACAATTCTACAGAAAATACGTTTTCGCATGGAGAAGCTACAGCTTCTGAACTGTGCAGATGCAAGCATGTTTTTAAGCCTTTTTTCTTTTAAAAAAACCAAATAACTCTGCATGCCTACGCCATCTGAGTGAAGGGTGAAAAACAAAAAGATTGCCACATCATCGTCAGAACCATTCACACAAAAAGATGATTCATCTTCTGCAGAGATGATCCTGCAGAAAACAAGGGCAGCAGGGAAGCCCAGGACAGTGTCCCCACGCTCTGAAGGCAAACACATGCAACTGGGGACAGATCAAAACCTTCAGAGAGAAACATCACTCAACAGCAACCACTCAGGGTAAGGTCACAGCACGGGCTGTCAGGAAAATAATTGGGACATCCTGAGACTAGCAAACCAGCAGAGAGCAGAGGGTCCATGCAGGGATGTGTCTCTTCATATCAGCACCTTCCACCCTGCAAAAGGGTCTCTGGCCTGCTGTTACCCTTGACTTTAAAGGAGTGCAGATAAGAGGATCAGCCCTTAGCACTGTGGGTCTGCATGTGGATGGTCCTGATGCTGCATAGTTAGTGCTGACACCCAGCCCCAGTCCTGTCCCACAGCTTCTCTGATTTTTGTGGGTACCCAGCTGCCTGCAGCTGCTAGCCCAGGCACCTAACAGTTTTGTTGTCATTCACCTGCATAGCTCCCACCAAAGTAGGAAAGTATTTGCTGAAAACCATCAAAAAAATCTTTGGCAGAACATCAAATTAAACCTATACCTCTTACCCTTGGTTAGGACCATGACCACTCATTTTTTCTCTTTCCACAAAGGCAATAGACTAATGCATAGCTTTTTTATCCCCCTTTGGGGTCTGCCCCTCCAGAACACGCATGTGAAGAATTAGCAGGCAGTCATCATCTTCAAGAGAAGGACGAGGACTAACATTGATTGCAATGATGGCTGTTCTTGCAGTACTTCCAGAAAGGGATCCCAGGCTCTAAAAAAAAAAAAGCCTAACAAACCTTAGTGGGAGGCAAA